TACAAATAGTAGTATTTCTATATAGTCACTATGTAGTTACTATTTTTAAATTATTAATAAAGATACGAGCAAGGCCTCACCTTAATACCAAAAAAAAATATCTCAACTTAGGTATCATATTTTATATATAAACTAGTGAATAATTTTATCCAATAGAAACTTAAAAAGAATTAGTAAATGCATACTTATATACCTAGGCATATAATAGTAAAATATACCAAAAACGTAAAAGTACTCATACAGTATATCCCTATATGTATATTTTAGATATTAAAATTGGCTAGAAAAATATAACAAGTACATATATTAGAGAAATATGATATTTACAAAGAGCGATAAATTAGATAGATTTTAAAATTTTTATATATTTAAACCTTGAATAAATACAGTATATCTGAATTATTTTTTTTTAACATCTTAAAAGGTGAGACCATATATCTGAATTATAAATATTTTATACTTTGATTTAAATTAATAAAATTTTGTTTTTACAGTAAATATACTTTCTTTTTAAAACCAAACTTTGTTTATTAATAAAAAAAATGAATACATTAAAGCAATTTATATACAAATTTATTTTGCAAAATACACATGAAAACATTTCAGAAATAATTCTAAATTCAAATAACCCTGATATTTGTATAATATATCATTCTAAAATTAGTCTAACACTTCACAAACCAATCATAATCTTATCATGTTACCATTTTTTTCACACCAAATGTATCAATATTTGGGCTTCTAAATCAAATGTTTCTTGCTTTATTTGCAAAAATAACAATTTAGAAAACCTATCAAACTTATTTGCAATAATTACTAGTAATTTTGCTACACCTGTTACCAATATTAGTAATTTTGCTGCACCTGTTACCAATACTAGTAATTTTGCTATGCCTATTATCAATACTAGTAATCCTATTACTCATTCCACCTTTAATAATCCTGCTACTAATATCATCACCACCTCTAGTAATCCTGCTACCTATATTGCTTCCAACTCTAGTAATTCTGCTAGTAATTCCTCTACATCTAATTTTAATAATTATACTAAATCTACCACTTATAGTAGTCCTGTTACATTTATATCTAGTAGTTCTATTATATCTATATCTAGTAGTCCT